ACAATCAAACAGAATAAATTATCATTATTTCCCCCTTATCCTTTGGTGCTAAATTCACCATGTTTTCACATTCGAGAGTGGTTTTAGACTTCTTCAGTAACACAGTCAGTTTTCAAATAGAATTATTTGAAATCTTTTCAGGGCATAAAATAAATTAACATTAAACTTCATGGTTTGTAAGTTTTAATATCTAATCTAGAACAAGAACCTTAAATGCTAAAAATATCAGTAACTATTTCAGGGTCCAACAAGACAGAACTAGAAATATTTCTATGTGTTTTAAACACAAAGACCTAAGTAATAAAATAAAAAGAAAGAAAAGTGATTAAAAGGAGAAAACAGGGACCAGGTGGCAATCCAGGTCTGATTCAGGATGCAGTGGGGCTAAGAAGTCAGGATTTTCATAGCAGCAAGGATTGGGGTGCATAGGCGGAACTGAGAACGTGTAACTTCTTAGGAACAGTGCCTCACCTAACAAAACATTTTCAATTTCATTTAATAACAAAATTTCAGTGGACTTGGAGGGCAGTGAACATGTATGTTTGCAGAATGCTACATTTCTTTCTTTCAAATCAGACATAGAGACACAACTTGCAGGCATACCTTTTCTGTTTTTGTCTGTCTCTTTCCTTTTTTGAAGAAGAACCCAAGTGCTGTCCCTTCTCCAGCTCCTCCCCCGCAGCTTTCAGTACTCTTCCTTGCACAGAGGTTGGCAGCCTGGCAATGAGCGGGGCCACCAGCCACACACCCCTGCGTTCAGAGGAGCTAAAATCAGAAACAGGCGTTATGCCCAATGAGGCACCTTTTTCTCAGAGTTATGACAGAAATTCCCATGTAAAAATTTTATACACAAGATACACTGATTATTCAGAAATTTCCCTTTCATTTCTATGCTATCGCACAGTAAATATTTTGCCAAATACCAGATATTTGCACACACTTTTCCACTCGTGTTTATAGAGGGCAATAAAAGACACGGTTCTGGGAGTATAACTAAAAGTTTGTTTAAAAATCTACAAACATACTTTTCTATTATTGTGGCTCTCTGATTAGTAACAGTCCTTTTGTCCAACACTTTTTTGTCCTGGTTAAGATATGAAATGTTCTGGTTACATTTAAGCACACTGATAGCCTGTTTTTAAAGTTTTAGAATTCACTAGTTATACTTTACACCAAAATGATGAAATACAGCTAATCTGCCTTTCATGATTATAGTTTATGCAAAAATGCTCATTTTTAAAGAAGGCAGAAAAAGTGTTTCCTATGTAACAAATACCACGGAACAGTGAACACTAAAGAAATTAATGCACCCTGAATGTCACCTGTGGTTCCCAGGAGTCTGGGCCCGATTAACCTAGTATTTAGAACACTAAGATATCATGCAGCCTGTAGCATTGCCCTTTAACTTATTATTAAATAATGATAACTGACACAAGTTATTACTTTCTTCATATTCCTGCAGCTTTATGAAAAAATATTGGATTATGCAAACAAAACACAGTTACATGTGAAAAAATAACAAGAGACTACTAGTAATAAAGCCACAGAAAAAACACCTTAGAAATGTCTTTATTCCATTCTGCCTTGTGCTTCCTGCATCGGAGCTTCCGATCCCATTCGGGTTGAAGAGCCCCGTACCGGAATTGGAAGAGTTGATGCTCATGTCAGCAGACTGCTGGAACACCTCTATGGTCGCCTTAGCAATATTGTCCAGTAAGTTGTTCATTTCAGCCACCGAACCAGAGCCCTAGTGCCAGACACAAGAAAACTAGCACACATACATTTTACTTTAACCTCAAATGTCAACATGCTTTGCTTTTCATACAATTTTATACACATGCATGCTCTTCAGATATACTCACTGGGTCCTTCAAGCACTGCTTAATCATTAACTGAAGTTCTAGCCAGGACTGCCTCAGTGTCCACTGCTCAAGGTTCTGGGGGAAACGGAAATAACTAAGACATTAAGGACATTACGCATGTCTTAAAACACAGGAATTACTGGCAGTTTCCCTATTTCAAGAAAGAGTAGAATAGTCACACACAAGAAAGGATCTACAGGCACCACTGCTTTTCAAAAGTTCGTGTTAAATGCCCAGCCAGCGTGGCTCAGTGGTTGAGCATTGACCTATGAACCAGGAGGTCACAGTTCGATTCCCAGTCAGGGCACATGTCCGGGTCTTGGGCTGGATGCCCAGTAGGGGGCATGCAGGAGGCAGCCGATCAATAATTCTCTCTCATCATTGATATTTCTATCTCTCTCTCCCTCCTCTTCCTTCCTCTCTGAAATCAATAAAAATAAAAAAGTTTGTGTTAAGTACTTCACTTTTTCTTTTTAAATATTTTTATTGATTTTTAACAAGAGAGGAAGGACAAGAGAAAAACAACTATGTGAGAGCAGAACATCAATCTGCTGCCTCATGCACACTCTTTCCCTCTCCACCGGGGATCAAGCCGCAACCTGGGCATGTGCCCTGACTGGGAATCGAACTTTCAGTGCACAGACGATGCTCAACCAACTGAACCACACAGGGCAGGGCAAGCACTTCACTTTAAGGAAAGACCTACATTAGCCTGTTTTCACCAACAGAATGAAATCGGAGAGTGCGAAAACAGTGCTGTGCTTGCTGTGCAGTAAGCTGTGATGGAGGCAGTGGGCACCCAGCAGCGAGGGTAGCCCAGGCACCAAACCCCTTCCCTGGGAACCACACACAGCCTCTCAGCATCCAGCCACCATGGTTTTTAAACCATGCCTGTGAGCATCTGGCTTTATCTCGACTTATTTTGCATATTTGTTAGCAAGATGTGTCTTAAGGCATAAGAAAAGCCTAAGAGAGCCGGTGGGAATGCTACAGTCATTTTTGTTATAATTACAAAGAATGTGTCAAATCACGGAAACATAATCTTTAAATTACTGACACTCACCTGAAGAATGCGCTTAATGTGCTGTCTTTGCAGGTTGTCCCCCTCAGTACATTCTTTAATGCCGTGAGGATAACAGATGAGCTGCAGTAGTTTCTGTGCTTGCATATTTGAAAGCACAGGGTCCAATATTAGTTCTTTGTCTGTGCACAATCTTTCAGGTTCTTTTAAGCAATGTTCTCCTACCCATTCCTAAAAATCATACAGCAGTTAGATTGGTAGGCATAGGCTTTCTACATGCCTATGTAATATGTACTAAGTTCATGGCACATAATGGAATATAAAGCAGACAGGAATCTTCCAATTAACAAAATATTACACACACAAAATGGTGGCAAAAGTTTTAAAAACAAACTTTTCTAGTATTTTAAATTCTTAAAATACAAAGTGAAACCTTGGATAAAGAAAACTTTAAAAAATAGTTATGCAAAAAAAAAGGAAAGAAAAGAAAGCTAAGGAAAATATTGGTATGTGTTTCAATTGGAAAATGGGTTCTTGTTCTTGCAACTGTTTTACAATCAAATTTTTAGCTTGCCATATGTAAGGGCAATAAGTCTATTTATAAGATGCCATTTTTATGAAATGCATTATGCTATGTTCTATTGAATAGAACACAGTATAACATTCAGAAAACTGTCTTCCTGTTTGATATTACAATGTTAGTATTATAAATAAATGTTTGTGCACATCTATTCTCTGTACAATTGATTTCTCAGGATAATTTCATAAAGTGCAATTGTTGGGTTAAGAAGTATAGCAAAAATTTAAGGCTATTGATGCATATGGCTAATTAACCTGTAGAGAGTTTCTACTAATTTAAACTTCTATCACAACTTCCTTCATCAGTTTTTCAAAGGAAACTCTTATTTTAAACTAGAGCCCCAGTGCACAAAACTTGTGAATGGGGGGGGGGGGAGGGAGGAAGGGTGTGTGTCCCTCAGCCTGGCCTGCACCCTCTTCAATCTGGGACCCCTCTCACAATTGAGGACTGCTGGCTCCCAACTGCTCACCTGCCTGCCTGCCTGATTGCCCCTAACCACTCCCCTGCCAGCCTGGTTGCCCCTGATCACCCACAACTGCCCTCCCCTGCTGGTCTGATCACCCACAACTGCCCTCCCCTGCTGGCCATCTTGTGTCCACATGGGGGCGGCCATGTTGTGTGTTGGAATGATGGTCAATTTGCATATTACTCTTTTATTAGATTGGATGAGGTAAGACTTTGTCAACTGTTCCAGAGGCCCATTTGAGCCCAGATCTGTTTAAAATGAAACCTGTTTCTTAACCACTACACCTGTGACTAAACACTGATTATCCATTAAAATCACCTGAGGACCTTGTTAACAAAGTGTGGGCCCTACATCAAATCAATTAAGTCAATCTTAGGTTGTGGACCAGATAGCAGTCATTTTCTTAAGGCATCAAAAACAATTTTAACTCCTTCAGTAATTCCAATTGCCCTCACAGTATGGAACCAGTGCACAACCCAACAACTTCTTAATCCTACATAATAAAAGGCTAATATGCAAATTGTCCCCTTGACCAGGAGTTCGACCTGGAATTCAACCATGGGGGTGGGGACTGCTGGCCAACCACCCACGGCCCCTCCCCCAGGCCGGCCCTGCCCCCGATTGCCCCCACCACCCCAATTGGGGGTGGGGTCAGCTGGCCAAACTCTTGCGTCCCCTCCCTCCAGCCAGCCCCACCCGATTGGCCCGGGCAGGCTGGCCAGACCCCACTGGTGCACGAATTCATGCACCAGGCCTCTAGGACCTATATAACTATTTAGCTAACTTTTACCATGGTTATAATATGCCTTATAAAAAACATGACCCTGTCAACATTTGGAATGTAAAAAAGAGTATACATGGTATGCCTTGATTCTTTTACTAAGAAAGGAGAAAATTTTTTTAAATATATGAAAAGTTAAAGCAGAAGATAATGAAACTGGCCACTTAGGGCAGGGTGAGACAAAGGGTAGCAGGGATTAGGGAGAGAGGACATATCTCTGAGTATACCTTTTGCATAGTTGGCCTGTGGGAGCATGCTATTCTAAAGACAGCATGTGGGGGAGGGGGGGTGGATCTACACCGAATGTAAACAAAAACAAATAAAAATCAGTTCTATTTCAAGCAAGAAATATATCCACAGTGAGGGAGAAAGTTCAAATGATTTCTCAACATAATATGGTAAACTCTTAGGGAAGAACTATAAACAAATCTTCAAATCCTTTTAGTAAGTTTGTTTTTCCTAGTAGTATGGGTGTAGCAATTCTGAAACTATTACAGGTATATTACAGAATAAAGCAAATGAGTAAAGGGTTAATATTATTGGGAGTGGGGTTCATAGTGTGGAAGAAGGCAATATTAATGTGGAATGGGGAAAACAAAGGACTTTGTGGGGTTGGATTGGAAGTAAAGATATCAGTAGGAACTCGTGATTTACACACACATTTATGTATATAGATATGTTTTTTCCTTAGCTCTGTCTGCTGAAAAGGCCTAAAACAATGAGCACACACAGTGCCTTGATCTTGGTTTCTAAATACCATATTGTGCTAAACAGAATCAAGGTTCTTCAGAGGAACGAGTAATTCTAGATCTGGGGCAGGGAAAGTACAAAAGGGGCCAGAAAGTTAAAAAAAAAAAAACTAAAGATAAAGACATATCAAAATAACATGAGATCCAGCATGAAGAGAGTCCCACCAGAAAAATCTGGGCAATTTGAACATGAACATAACCAAGGACAGTAAATCATAATCCATACGGAAAATTAGTAAATATAAGTTAAGGGCGGGCTTTTCCTTAGGGAAGAGTGCAAACTGATAACTGGAGAGGAGAGGAGTTTGGAGGAAAATCACCATCTTGCACCCATCACAGTAAAGACTGGTTTGGACAAGAATCAAAATGGATGCAACTTGGGAGGTGAGAGAATTTGATGAGAATATTTGCATTGTCTTAAAGTGTCTCTCCAAAGACCACTTATTAATTACAAGGAAAAAAAATAATTATCCAGTAGAGAAATTTTGAAATCATACAATGGAGACATCTTGATAAGGTTAACATCACCAATGAGGTGCCAATGGACATCATGGGCCTTCCGATGTGAGTACCCGAGAAGAACCCAGCATTACCGCTGCAGTGTCTAGTTAGGAATGCATAATCTGAAGCTAATCTACAGGAAACTTCACACAAATCCAACATAGTTGGAACAACTGACAAAATTAGAATGAGGTCTATAGGTGAGAAAAATTTACTGTACTAATGCTAAATTTCCTGAGTTGTTTTTAACTGTATTTTGTTCATGTTAACAAACACTAAAGTATTCAAAAGTAAAAAAGAATAATGTATGCCAACTACTCTCAAATGGCTCAGAAAAAAATTTTTTTAAGTATATGCATCCATACTGACACACACAAATAGAATTATAAAGCAAATGTGGCAAAATGTAAAAAGTTAGTGAATTTGTATAAAGGATATACTAGAGTTCTTTATTATTATTGCAACTTTTCAGCAAATTTGAAATTATGTCAAAACAAAGCAGGATAAAAAGGACCATCTATGTACACGTTTTGTACAATAGTGAGATTCTTTCCAAAATAACAGTTACATATTCAAAGTTAAAGGCCAATTAAATCTGAAGATACCTGTTGACAAATAGTTCTCAGTACATATCTAGCATATTCTTTTAAGTTGGCGGTTTCTATGGAAATGCTTCTCCCGCATGATTTCGCAGTTTGTGAGGCAGTCCAGATATCATCAGCATTCCCATCACGTCGCAAACCCCTCATGGTGAAGTCATCATTCTTTAGAGAGCTGACACTGTTATTGCCAATTTTGGCATCTCCTAAATAACAGAATCACAAACCCAAAATCACACACATTCAAAATATTGCCAATTATTTGAGAAGTAAATGAGACAAGCTTTCAGGAATTTAAAGTATGTGAATGGATAGCTGTGCAGCAATGAAGAGAATGGATCAAGAGAATAAACGCAAGAACCCAGGGAAGTTTCATCGGATATGGGAAAAAAGTAAGTTCAAGACTCAGTCCCTACTTTGTTTATAGAATTACGTATGCTTTCACCAAACTTGTTAACGCCATTTTGAATCACACTTAATAATCAGAGAACACTGATTTCACCAATATTTCAAGCATCAATGTATTCAAATTCATTTGACTTATAGACAAGGAAAAGAAGGGTTACTCACCCTGCTAGATGTCCCTTTTCCATTTCTTCTCTTATAATGACTTATTTTCTATCCATAGGTCAAGAGAAAAGTTTTGCCTTAGCCCACCTTACTATCAACTTCTTGACAAGAGACATTTATTTCCCTGGGAATGGAAAAGGGCAATGCATACTAAGGAAGCCCTGGAAAATAGGGCATTCATTGAATAACCCGTGTCTTTCACTTTCCTTTCTGTAAACACCAACTTAGAAAGAAAACTTCATTCTCACCAATCTCTAATATATTCAACTAAAATGAAGCTAAGGAAAGTGTTTTTCTTATTTAAAAAAAGTTCTGGGGGAAACACTGAGCAGAATGATTGAATATCTATCAGTGGTCGGCAAACTGCAGCTCGCGAGCCACATGCGGCTCTTTGGCCCCTTGAGTGTGGCTCTTCCACAAAATACCGACTTCTGCACATGGGCCACGAAGTTTCAATCGCACTGTACGTGCACGCCCGCACGTGGTATTGTGTGGAAGAGCCACACTCAAAGGGCCAAAGGGCCGCATGTGGCTCGCGAGCCGCAGTTTGCAAACCACTGATCTAGATATAAGAAATCTTCTCTAGCTAAGAAAGACAAAGAACTGTCATATTTTGAAGGTGAAAAAAAATAAAATAATTTGGTAATAAACCTTGCCAAATGACAATAGAGCCTCCAAACTTTTGCCTGTTTACCCACAGATCATAAGCCTTCAGAGAAAAAAATTCCTGGAACCAACAAATGAGTTTACAGGAGGCCCTCAGAGCAAAACCAAGCCAGGTCAGTGCAAAAAGTCTTTTAAAGCCTGCAAGTCAACTAGGAAAAAGTTTTGACTCTGATGAAAAAATATGAAAAATCAGAATTGCTTATTGAATATTTACTTATAAAATCATTAAAAGGAAGGGAGGAATAAAAATATATTTCGACTCAGCAATATCTTCATTTTTATTATCAAACATTTCTCATTAAAATATATGGGCAAATATTACCAATTTCACTTTACCCATAGGAATTTATTTAATTCAACAGAGTTCTTTAGGAGTTGCAAGAAAGACCAGATTCTGTATGTATCAAAATTTAGCATGCTTTTTAGTGATATAAACAACTATTTTTACACCTTAAGTTAAACTGCTATAGACATTAGAAACCAAATTCTATATAACAGTTCTATTTCCCTAACTCAACATCAGTCCTGATGGACAGGACTTGAGAGAACATTGGTTAGAACATGTGAGATAGATAAGTTAAAATTTCTGCAAAAACAAAGAAACAAACATATCTGCTAGTCCCAGACTAGGAGATCCTCAAATCAGTATAGATGTTAGGATGACCTGGAGGTTGTACCAGAACCTTCTACAATCATATAGACAATAGAACATTGGAACAGTGTTCAGTAACAGCCAGGCCCCAGGCTCTGCTGGCATTCAACTGGCCTAATCCTGACTTGGGAAGCAATGCTTAGAAAGCTGTAGATTCCTCCAAGAACTGAAGCCAATGAAAAAGCTCAAGGAGCCCAGCTGGGGTGGATCAGTGGTTGAGTGTCGACCTATGAACCACGAGGTCACAGTTTGATTCCCGGTCAGGGCGCATGCCTGGGTTTTGAGCTTGAACCACAGTAGGGGTAGGGCAGGAGGCAGCCAATTGGTGATTCTCTCTGGTCATTGCTGTTTCTATCTCTCTCTCCCTCTCCCTCTCCTTCTCCCTCTCCCTTCCTCTCTCTGAAATCAATAAAAACATATCTTTAAAAATAAAATAAAGTAAAATAAAAAGGTCAAGGAGAGGCAGTCAAAGAAAAGTGAATTGATGATTATACATGGATAGTAAACTATGGTTATTTGGATATTTAAAAAGGTTGGCCAATTTTACTTGGGATCAAACTAGTCCTTCAAACCAAAGGGACAATATCTAAATTGCACTCATCTTGGTTTCTGCCATTAAAATGTCTATCACTTAATGTAGTCACACTTCCAAAATTAGTTTATGGGAAATCTTCTATTTAGTTTCTCTGATGAACATTAGCTACCACAGTAAAAAGGTGAATCCCTAAATTCATGATTATGTTTATGTTACCATAAACAAAATACAGTTAACAATGGTCTCTACCTTTATTAAACGGAACTAACCAGCCATCTTTCCTTTCAAATATACAGAAATTTTATTATTGAGATGATCATTTAATGTTGGCTGTATACACAAGCTCCTGAGCTCAGAGGAAGGCTGTAGCCCTCCATGTGACTTTACCTTTCTCTTTTTACTTCAAAATTCCTGGGTGTAATAGGAGCATCATGTATGTGTGTATGTATACATATATACACATGTATGTATATGTATATACATATGTTATATGTGTATGCTTATTTTTAGATGCACATTTAATAATTTGCATGTATGTATATATGCATGTATGTATGTATGTATGTGTATATGTAGGTATTTTTAGATGCACTTTTTAAAAAATATATATTTCTTTATTGATTTCAGAGAGGGAGGAGAGATAGAAACATCAATGATGAGAGAGAATCATTGATCAGCTGCCTCCTGCACGCCCCCTACTGGGGATCGAGCCCACAACCCAGGCATGTGCCCTTGGCCGGAATCAAACCTGGGACCCTTCAGTCCGCAGGCTGATGCTCTATCTACTGAGCCAAACCAGCTAGGGCAAATGCACTTTTAATAATCTCTTTTATGAAAGCCCTGTTTTCCTTCCTTGTCATCACCAAATAACACTTTCCAAGATGAAGTATAAAGGGATAGGCTTTATCCTCAAACATGTTCTTTAAGACTCATCAAAGACCATTCTCATCCATGCGGTAACTTCTGTTCTAATGAAAGGGGGCTCCTTCAGAACATAAGAGATAACATTTGTTTAGTGAAGGCCAAAAGAGGGCATCCAAAGCTGGAATGAGATAGTGTGATTCAAGACTTCCCAATCATTCTCCTAATTTACAGAATAAAAATGTCTTAAAGCATTGCACTACAAATGAACAGAAAAGGCAGTGCTACTACTCCAGGAGGATGTATATACCAATAACAATATAAAAGGCATCTTGGTCATTATAAATTATATAAAACTAGTGGCCCGGTGCACGAAATTCGTGCACAGGGGAGGGTGTGTTCCTCAGCCTGGCCTGCACCCTCTCCAATTTGGGACCCCTCAGAAAATGTCCTGTCAGTTTACAGGGATCGGGCCTAAACCAGCAGTCGGACATCCCTCTCGCAATCTGGGACTGCTGGCTCCTAACCACTCACCTGCCTGCCTGATTGCCTCTAACCACTCTGCCTGCCGGCCTGCTCGCCCCCAACTGGCGCCCCCCCCCCCGCTGCTGGCCTGCTTGCCCCCAAATGACCCCCCCGCCAGCCTGATCAACCAAAAATGCCCCCCCTGCTAGCGTGGTAAGCCCCTACCTTCTCTCCTCACAGGCCCGCTCACTCACAACTGTCCCCCTGGGGGGCTGGTACTTCCAAATGACGCCCCCCCCCCCCCCCCCA